GCAAAATTGCTGTTTGGAATATATATTTTTTTCTCGACTCAGAAAATTGTTTTTAAGTAAGGTAGCAGCCTCCCACTTTCCAAGAAACAACCTCCAACATGGCCAGAGTAGGATTCTGACGAAAACAGATCGAAGATTGTATTGATTAAAATCTTGATATCGATTTGATTAAATGCTTTTTAGAAATCTTTTAATGCCGGCTCGAAATTGTCTGTTGATATCACTGTAAATAAGAGGGTTAAAGAGCGAATTACAGTATCGAAGAAAGAAAATAACATGATCAATAGCTGTAAATGTCTTTGTTACCTGTAAAGACATGTAGGTGTACACAAGATAGAAAACAAACAGCGGGCACTAGCAGAGAGAGTGGGCGCCCATTATGATGGTAGAAGTCTTTGCTCCTTTAAGTTCCCGCTTCAACTTAACCTTCGTTTGGAGTGTCCCAATCCTACGGGATCACATTGCGTCGATTGAGAGTTAATTCTTCGCGCGTGCGAACGAGCAACGATGAATATGTTCCGGTAAACAATCGTCATCACACAAACTGGGTTGACGAAACTCGCTATCGTGATAAAGGTTACACCCATTTAATAAAAAATACTGTGACAGATTTTTATTGCTATTGGAATTTTTGACCAAAAATAGTAAGGCAGTGCATGAGACAATCGCTGTTGGCGATGGCAACCATTTTGGGGACAGGATTAAATTTTGAGATTAAACTTCGACCAGCATGATTTCTATCTTAGAAGTTGCTTGTGTAAGCCTTCAGCAAACTACCAGTGATAATATTAATGAAAATATAGGGTAATGATAACAATAATAATAATATTAACAATTCATAATGATATCAAGATGTTCCACTGCAAACAAATAGAAAGATTTAAAATTAAAAAATATGAGAAATCAAAGACTTCATAATGATGACTAAATTATAGTTAAAATTCAATTTATTAAAACAGCTTTAGTCTTAAACAGGATCTGTTTGGAAGGTGGACATATCTTTTTTAGTGTCTTTTTTATTGTTATTATTATTACTGCTTTTTAAATAAAACGCACATATCAGTGATTCTTCAGAACTAGGATGAAAATTATAAAGTAAGAAACCTCGTGTTTTAATTCATTAAAAAAACAGTGATCTCTCTTTCCTGAAAGTTCGTGAATAACATAATCAACTGGTATGTAGCTTCTATTGCAAAATATTCTTTACAAACTTTGCAAAGTTTGGTAAATAGAAAGGCTAAGAAACATTTTTGAAAGGACGATCGCATCAAAAGATTGACTATTTATTTTTAGGAGAATCCTATTTGCGCAGGCTTTTGCCTATGATGAAAATATTTTGGCTTCATAGAACTTCACCTAGATATATAAAATAAACTCGCAATTAATTTCTTCTGTAACTCCTTACAAATGGAGGCTGCCAGACTGTTTGATGTTACATCATAGGATGGAAAGGTGCTAGAAATCAATTAACCTCAATTTCTTATATAGGAGCGATCAATTCCCTTATAAGTTAATATAAATTCAGTGATACTTTTCCCATCAAACTCTTGCCTTTATTTGGTAGAATTATGTTAATCCAGCTAGATTTGTTGCCAATTTCTTGCAGCTGCCGACTAAGGAAGCCTGTGATATCTGGACAAATCGTTGGATTGGACGTGTCTACGGACAGTTTTATCTTAGTTTTAGGACCCAAACTATTCTTGCCTCTGAGAAATGTATTGGCTTTCCGTCTAAATTTTTCTGATTGGCGGGTGGAATACTTTGTTCGTTTGTAACAATTGTTCGATCGGAGGCTAAGAAAACATCCAAACAATGGTGACATTACCCCTACTAATTGATATTTTGAAGAACGGTCGTATGATAATTCAACGGCGTCTTTTTTCATTCTTGCATGTATCTGTTCCCATGTATGTATCCCATGCATCTGTTAGTCTAGGTGGGCAAAATAAATTAAACATTCAATCACTTTTCCCCATCGTAAACTTTCTGACGGTGATGACAAAACATGCATCTTTGTATAATATTTCTCTTTTGTAATGTTCAGTCCTTCCATAAATCTTCCAAGAGGCGAAGATATGTTGTTTAGAGGTAAGACAAGATTGAAATATATTGAAAAGTGCGTTCCGGAGCATTTGCATTTATTTCGCCGAGGGCCAGATGTGTTTGAACTATTTTGAAGCACTGGCTTTTGTGCCTTTTCTGTGTGCACTCCAGTTGACCTTTTGCCTTGAAATGTTCATAAAAATACAAAACCGGCTGAAGGCATAATTGCAGACGTTATGGGACGGATGTTTGAGGACGTTCCATAATGACTTGAGGTTAATAGAAAACTCTTTCATGATAATTTTCATTTTAAGGTAATGATCTGAAAAAGCTGTATGCAGCCGGCTTTCTTTATATGACTTCATCGCTGTTTTAGGGCATTCGATCTGAATCGAAGTGAGTGAGCATCGGAAATATATTTCAGGTATTTATTTCTTTTTGATACTTAAAAGGTCGATACACGGAAAGATACGATCAGACGTCAGTGAAATTTGACAGCAAAAGAACCCAGTCAAGGGTTAAAAAAAAAAACTTGTATTTTGCAACCTCAATATGTAAACATTGCAATTATAAATTACTACATAAGTGTTCTTCAAGAGCCGATGAAAAATTCATGGTTACTCAGGTCTGACATTAAATACTGCGCAACCTTAAAAAGGGAAAAATAGAAATTTTTCCATTGATTCCTGATATTTTCCATACTACTTGTTAATATTTATTTAGACATTCTCCGCTGCGATTATAACAATAACAACATTTTCGCGTTTTTATATCCGGTGAACTGTTTACCGCGACACGTTCTTTCTGGCTCATACAGAGAAGCGGAAATAAAAGAAAGAATTAACCGAAGAAAAAAACCTCCTTAAGAATTACCTCATTGGGGAAAATGTAATTGCAAAGGTAGGGGAGAAGTAAACATAAAAATAATTTATTTACAACCCTTCTTTTCTGGCAAAAGGATAATTTCATAATATTATAATCATTCAAATTGTTCTTATTGTCAAATGTGTAGTATGTGGCTCAGAGAAGTTCCAGTGAGATTCTAAGAACATACAAGAAGATTTTACCAGATAAATTAAATAAATTCCCGATCATTTTACTTTATTTGATTATATTATTTAAACTCAACTCAATCTTCAAACTTCTCCTCAGCCAATTGCTGAAAACAAGAAGATGGTGTCCAGAAGGACTTTCTGGGGTTTCATTATTGCTTTCTGTAAGCACTGTTGTCTTTATTTCATAGAGTGTCAATTAAAGCGACTGAAGTGTTTTATTTAAACCTATTTCAAAGGATTGGAAATTGCTACGTTTAGACTTAAAGTATGCGTTCTTATGAGAATACCTCACGTTTTCCTCAAATATTCTGGCCCGAAAAAGGTCAACTCGGGAGAAAGCAAGCGACACGCGCACGGGAGAGACATGTTGTGGAGAAATCTTACTAAGGGACATTACGAAAATAGAGTTACTGCTCCCTGAGAAATTATGAGACAACACAGCGCCGAAGTTGATTTTCGCCTCTCATTCGAGTCTGATCGCTGGTTTACGTGCGCTGCAGACCATGTTCGTGACGTAATTTATCCAGTGCATATGGCCGACAAAACAAAATACGTTATTGCTTTTCTTCGTTCAATTTCCAAATACCATGTACTACGTCACAATCATCTCTAAAATTATATATATATATTAAAAAAAAGAAAACAGAAAAAACCAACCTCATCAACGGTGTTCAGAATCTTTTCACTTTTCGTCGTTCGGCACCGAATGCACGCTCGCGTAATTATGTCATTTACATTTCCTATGGCAAAAACCTGTCCAAAAGACGCTTAATTGGAAAATTTCAGCCAACAAATTTTGATAGCAAACCGGACACCGAAAAGAAAGATGAAATATGTATTTAAGGAAAAGAAATTTCTTAATAGCGATGAGAATTTATTGTGGTTTATTTCAATCGACCTGCGATATCTTCTTCCTACCAATTTTTGTTTTCGTTAGTTGCGCGATGCACGATGCTGAAATCGGCATATTTAATTTGAGTGCTTAAAATTCAAAACAAGGAAGTTAATGACGTCAATGCCGTCTAGATATCTCTGAATATCTACAGATCATGTTAGGTTTCAAAGCATCGGCGAGTAATCCGCTTAAGTTACCAACACTATTCACCCTTGGCCAATTTCAAAATCGCTATAAGAGGTAATAATCTCGGAATGTTGACCGTAAACTTGGTCAAAGCCATTTGAAATTCTTTTTCAACCACAGAAAATTCGGAAATTTCGAAACTTGCAAATATTGATTTGTTATTTGAGCATGCACTGGCTTCTGATAAGTGGAGAACAAAGAGAGGCAATGTTTACATGGTCAGCGGTCTATTTGAGAGAGGAGCTTTGCCTCCTTTCTCGAAGAGCGGTTGGTTATTGACCTAAGCAGAGCCGTCTGTCAAAGAGACCACAAATCATATCAGCTATTGGCAATTCCAAAAGTAAAGGAGGCGTATTTCATCACTCAAAAATCGGAGAGAAATTAAAAAAATGCAGGCTCTCTGTTGTTGAATTCTCACCGGTCTAAATCACACACGTCCAGTGAAATGAGGTGAACGCTAAGCAGTCGAAAGAGTTTCAGTTGAGAAAGACTTCATGCCGAATTAGGTCTATATTAGATTAAAATTTATGTATACACGGGAAGGGTTAAGTCTAAAGCTTCCTTTATCCTTTTGAATGCGTGATACTGTTGATACAGTTTCATCTGTTGTTACCCTTTTGCTCAGCACTATGTGATGTCTCTTCCATATAGTTTTCATATAACCAGTCTCCGCGGTGTCTAACGTATATAGCTTTTAATAGAAACGTCATTTCAAGTGTAGCGTTTCCATAAACGTCTTTGAAAACAAGCTTCCACTCGAGATGCTCTGTTTCAATTGAATTGGTGAGGTGTACTCCCATTTTCTCTTGATTTTACAAGCAGTTGCATTAATAGTTGAAGTACGCCCTCAGGGAGTTGTCCCATCGTTTCACGCAACTCAACTCTTGCAAGCTCCAAAAGGACATTATGTGGAACTGAGTTTCACCTTGAAGACTTCAAATCCAACACCATGCATTGATGACATGTACCTTGAGGTTCGCGATGGATACAACAAGTCTTCCAGTATTCTTGGTGTATTTTGTGGGAGAAACATTTCTGGTGTTGTGCGATCCAGTGGACAGAGCTTGTGGTTGAGAAAGTCAGATACATTCAGTTACCATTTCAGCGGTTCGTACAGTAACAAAACAGCTAATGCAACAGGCAAGTATTGACTAACTGAATTTTTTTTAACCCACTGAAAGACACAATGTGCATTTTGGGAGTTTTACACCTCTGATAAAAGAAATATGGCCATAGCTAGTGCTTCTTGTACTCAACTGCTTTTGTAATTGCGAAGAATAATTATTTTTTTATTTTTTTCCAGTCAAACCCAACCTTGATAAAGTGGCCGAGACTCAGTTCGTTCTTCTCAATCATTCCTCATCTCTTTGGTGTCCAGCAAAAGGAGCACCGGCACCGGTCATTGTTTGGAGAAAGAACGGCACTGTGGTACAGAACAGTACAAGTGTACAGTATAAGCTGAACATCACTGGAGAAAACAATGACGATTACAGTTGTGAGGCGAACACACAGGATGTTTCTGACAAGAAACGAATCCGTCTTGTCATTGAGAGTGAGTTTTAGTTATAAAAATGTGATTCTTAACCTAATCAGGCTAGGAGGGAAATATATCGCAAATTGCAGAGTTTCTATACATTGGTAGTAAATTAACAAGTCTTAACGCTTTTTAACCTGTCTTCGCACCTAAAAGGCTGACACAATAGTTTTGTTGATCCAGCATAAAATTCTCTTGCCTTACACTGGATTGTTATTGACTGTTACAGGGTAATCTAGTATTATCAACTGAGTTGATGTCGTAAAGTGGCCACCGTGAAGAGTTTGAAAGCTAACGTTTCGAGCTTTAGCCCTTCGTCAGAGCGACAGACGCAGCACCACAGATTCTCTTGGAACTTACCCGCTTTAGTATTGAGTGTTCATGAGGAACTTTGAGGCTTTTTCAGAGGACTCAAATGCACTCTTGCAGCATTTCCGACAAAATAGACAAACAGGTATTCACTAACTTACATCAAACGGTACGATGATAAAAGCATATCTTTTTCCTTTCTTTTTAGGGTGTCCAGATCCCTGCCGGTGTACCACGGCAGTTGGAATTATGCGCACCGTTACCCGCGTTGAATGTAATAGAAAACGTTTACAGTCTGTTCCACGTCACTTGCCCTTTTCTACGGAGAAATTGTAAGTATCAGTTCTTTTTTTTTTTTTTTGATCAGTGGTGGGGGGGAGGATGGGGGCGAGGGAAAGGAATACACAAACTTGAAACGGTCGACTTTACTCAAGGATACTAATCCCCCATTCAGGGATTTGGATGACAACCAAATAGAGGAGCTCCCACCTGGAGTCTTCGATAACAACACCGAGTTGGCCATCTTGTGAGTAGACAATATATATGCTTATGTTGATAATGACGCGCAATGAGGTACGTATTGCTTAATGCCTGACGCTTGGTGGGTGTAGTCAGTTATGAGCCATGGCAGTAAAACAGGGGGGGTTGGTTTGTTGATTGGCAATGTTGAATAGATGGAGGTAACCAAAACAAGGCTATCACAGGATGTTGGTGGTCTAGATGCAACAATTTCATTTGCTATCTCTATGCAGTTTTGATTGTTTGTTTGTTTGTTTTTGTATTCGTCCTATTTACATACACTAGATATCCTGTTCGGCCATTGTGATAAAATGAGGCAGGGAGAATACGGAAGGTGATCCTCCTCGCAGATTTTCTCGCTTTAGCTGTATAGCGTCGCCCACCCTTCCCGCCTCTTTCCTCTCTTTACCAACACAGCAGTGATACTCTCTTGTGTGGTGGCTAAACAAAGTTTCAACTCCTTTAGATGGCTACGCAAGAACAAGATCAGGAAGTTACGAGATGACTCATTTTCTCAGTTGGTCAAGCTGCGAATGCTGTAAGTTACAACCCTTACATATTCCCATGTTACACAGGCCAATTACAAGAAAACCACGTTCAGATATATGTACAACTAATTCAGCCGGTCAACCTTTGACACAGATAACAAGTTCAACGGCCGTCAGCTAAGTATTTTCCTTTTTTCATCTGAGAGTTAAGTAACAACCTTTTCTCAGGAGCTTAGAAAAGAATCAGATGAAGCAGCCAACACCTGGAGTCTTCAATAGAAAAACAGAGATGACCCTCTCGTTGACAACCAAATCATACTTCGGCACACCAGTATCCGAAATATGCCCAAATAATTGTCCGCAGACAGAGCACGACGCTCGAGGGAAACTGAGAGCTTCGAGGAACAAAGGAGCCGGGTGGGATCAGTCATCATCCATTAGGTTTAAAGGGGGACTACCAAAATTGACTGCCACAAAATTGGCTCAGGCGGGATCAGAATAATATTGCATAGCCTTATGGGGGATCAGTTGAATTTTATAATGACACAAACAAAATTCTCTGACCCCTGCCCCCCGCCCACCCAGAGGATAAATGATGACCGGTTTCTAAGGTCTCGAGAGCTTTCGCTTTAACTCCCAGGGTCTTCCTCAGAAGGAGAGGAGTCTGGAAAGAAGTTAAGAGTTAATTTCTATTTCCACAGATGTACTTTCCAAACCATTTAGGTCTGTTAAAATTTTATGAGCTGATTAATGTGCTTTATTTTTGTTAGGTAAGGGACTCTATAGCACTATTTACGATGTTTTTACTCATTTTCAGTTCTTCATTCAACGAAGATACAAAAAAAGATAGTGAGAAAAATACGATTTATCCGTCATCTCATGGACGTTTTCTCAAAAATGAAAACGGCTGCAAAGAAAAAATATTGCTTAACTTTTACTTACTCTAGGAATCATAATTACCAATGAATGAGAGAGATCCTAAATTAAGTTATGTTCATTTCTTAGGTATTTAAATGGAAACCAAATCAAGGAGCTACCACCCGGAGTCTTTAAAAACAATTCCGAGTTGTTTTACCTGTAAGTAACAGATTAATAAGTTTATATATTAAATTGTGTTTGATATGATCTGAAAATCACCTTAATACAGTTTAATCTCCTTGACTCTGGTATTGAGCTCTTTGTTTGAGTTTGCTCCATATAGAGTTGGTAAAATTATCCTTTTCTCTAAAAAACTGAGCGTACGGGTATTTAAACTCAGGGGCCGTTCGACAGCCACAATATGCGAGTAAGAGAGAGTGGCATCAATCGTAGAACCTTCGAGTTAAAACAGATTCAAATATCTTTTTTTATCAGTTACTTAAAGAGAATTTCTTAACTGTTACTGATGACGAATTCCGCCTTCTAGTATCTATCCCGTTTGCCTATGCGAGCACATCCTCATGACTGGTAACAATAATTTATTCTCAGATTTCAAAACACCTGAAAATTTTCACTCAGAAACAGCATCAAGAAATTGCGTTGATCAACCCGCAAGCGTTGTAAATTTAAAATTACTAAAACGGATCCTATCACACGCTAAAAAAATCGTGGTTGCAACGGCGGGGTTGAAATTCTCTGTCCCAGTTCGCATATTTACCAAACCCCAGTTTCCAAACTTTGATAGAAATTCTATCCAATTGTCATCAATCCTATTGCTTTCCAAAAAAAAGTCGGAGGAACACTTTTTACGTTATATTAATCTAATTTATTCAGCCCATACCATCACGTAGTCTAATGTCATAATATCAATCCAAGAGAGTACAAACTGGTAAACGTTTTAGATTCCCTTTACCAATCCTAATACATTTAGAATTGTCCAGAGAGAGAAATTTACCTTAATCTTCAAGTCAAGGTCCCTTTTTTTACCAGAAATCCGATCTCAGTCATAACTTATCCCTTTCAAAAGTTTCAAAACAAGTCAGATGAACACCTTTCACGGGGTATTTTCCCTTGACGCAAGCAATATAAAAATTGATCAAATTAGACTTTTTGCTTAGAGAAACTCAGCCATTCGAGAGAATGATCTTTTTCAAATTCTTTAAAGAATCATAGTTCTCCAAGCTCCAGCTCCATGCAGCTTCAGCTGCATTAAAGGACTTCAAAAAACTTTTTAAAAGATGTTTAGAGGTACTACTCTTATTCGCACTAGGTGGTAACTCTCATTCCTAGCCCCTAGATTCGCTCTTTTCCCATGCAGAATAAATAAACCTCAGTCCTCTTACCTCAATGCCTATTTACTCTGCTAGGACACTTCATAGCCTTTCGATTATATCTGCGTGGTACCAATGACGACCCAATACTAATTAATGACTTGAGTCATTAAAGTTGATAAAAATCAAGCCTTTACATAACTGGTTTACACTATCACGTGTAGCATCATCTTACTTCATAATCAGCAAGACTGTGGTAAGACTTTCAACAAACAACCAGTTGAGCACACGCAAGATGCAAGAATAAAAACAGTTATGTTGATGAGAACAATCCCATTAGTAATCATCATCCACTTATAAAAAAAATGCTATTGTCTCTGTTCTATGTCTAACCCAGAGCATCTTCTAATGTCAACATAAGCCAATGATTCTTGGTATATCGTTTATGTAGGTACTTATATGACAATCAGATAGCAGAACTGCCACGTGGAGTCTTCAACTACAACACCAAGTTGATTCGACTGTAAGTAAACAACCTTTTAAGAAGTCCCCATGCTTAGCAGAGGGGTCAGTTTACAATTCAGATGGCAAGATCCAAACCCATATCCCAGTTGGTATATTTAACGATTCGCGGTTCCAAATTTTAAGAGAAATCGCATCCCCATTGTTATAACTCCAACAAGCTTCCAAAAAGGCTTAAAGAGACGTAATCTACCAAAAAGATGGACAAGAAATTTGAATTTAATATGTGTAGAAAAATAAACAAACTTCAATTGTATATATCTTTTGATTTCTCATCAAAAAGAGGCAGCTCATTTCAAGCGCGGACAACGAAAAATACATCTCGCTTTTCTACTTAAACGATGTCAAATGTAGTGTACGTGGGAAATGCCTCGTTTTTTAGGCCATGAAGCAAAGCAGCTTATATCAAGCGCAGTGACTTGCAGCGACTTACGGCGCTTTACGTAGACAAATGCAGCAAGCGTGGTATATGGCTAAATATGCATCGATTTTAAAGCCATGGAGCGGAACAGCCCATAACAAACGCGAAGGACTTGAAAGATACCTCGTTCTTCAAGCGCGGATGACTTCAAATCTCGTTCTTCAACCCTTAAAGCAAAAATACGCTTTACACAGAAATATGAAGTCCAGTATACGGGAAATATGCCTCTTTCTTAAAGCCCTGAAGCAAAACAGCCAATTTCAAGCGCGGATGACTTGATTTATATTGCGTTCTTCCAAACATTTAAACAAAACGGCGCTTACCGCAGAAACATTGGATGCAGCTTACGAAAAATATGCCTCGTTTGTAAAGCCATGAAGCAAAAGGACTCATTTCAAGGGCGGATCACGTGAAACAAATGGTATTCCTCGACCCATTAAGCGAAACCACGTTTCGCACTGGCATGTGCAGTATGCGTGAAATATGCCTTTTTCGCCAGGCAAGGAAACGAAGTTGTTAGATGCTGAATTCGATAGAAGTAAAATCTGTTTTACTATTTCCCTTTTGAGGTGAACGAAGTTGGCAAACAGAAATATGAAATAACACAATGCCAGTCACAAGAGATCACTCTCTCAAAGTACGTCGGCAGTTTCCTGCATTCCTTATATTTTTATGACAATCGATATGCCGAGTAGTTCGAGAATTGAAAAGTTGCCGTTGAGTTACTCTTCCGAGTCAGCTAGGTGGAAGGTATTGCATGAAAAAAAAAAAAAAAAAAAAAAAAAAAAAAAAAAAAAAAATTGACAAAGGTTCCTTTTGTTCATTCGGCCAATTTCACAGAATTTTGTCCATTCTACATACGCTACTAGTCTGTTTTAAGAGGGTAAATTTGTCAAAATGATATTGCGGGTATTGGTCTTTTTAACCTCTCGCGATCTCGCCCCTCTTCGTCTCTTCGTCTGAATGTTTCATGATATGAAATTAACCCCTCTATAATTATTTCCTCAGACCATAATGCAAAAGCGTTTGAAAACAGAGTTGAGTTTAAGTAGAGTTTGGTTGTGAAGTGTCTTCAGCCGTCTTGCAGCCGAGGTTTAGTCAAGTAACCATATAGTCAGTGCTTTTTTTCGGTTTATCGAATTGACGATCGCGTCAAATTTATCACTACCCTATATCATTCAAAGGCATCGTTTCATACTGCCTAGAAGCCTAGCGCGTTCGAGATTGCCTTCGTCTGTATATTTTTTTGAACAGACTTTTTACTTCAGTGCAGATCGGTTTTGCCAAGCCGGCACCTTGAGTAAGATTTTATTTCAAAAGTTGTTGAATGAACCATAGCGTTGCGTGAACATTGTGAAAACGCTAAGGAAAGAAAAGCCCATGTTAATAAAATTGCCCTATGGATCTGTGATCTGCGTTGTTTAGTTTTCGTTTACCCGTCAACATCGCTTGGTTATTTTGGAAAACTAGTGAAGCTGAATGGTGGAAGATCAATGATGTATGGCAACTATATATATCCTTTAGAACTTTTAATAATGAAAAGCCGATTAGTGTAGCCATCTTGAGTGAGAACTTTCCATCTTATCCTATCTTGTCTCTAAACTTGCCCTTTTTTTTTTGGTTTGCGTGACACTTATGTATTCCTTTTAGTCGTAAGTGAAGTGATGTGCGTTTTCTCTGGGGAGACCGATTTATGAGCTTTTAGCGCAAAATCCAATGAATTAGGGTGAAAAATAACTTTATCCTTTAAAAAACAGCTTGGTTAATACACAGAGTTAGTCGTCCCCCCTTCTAACTCTAGTCTATACTTTTTTGATAATTCTATATTCTAGTAGGAATTGACACTTTTTGCGTGCTTTACCAGCTCCATGAATAAATATTCAGTTTAAAATGTATGCAGTTAAAAGGCTGCACGCGCGCAACACGCAAACTGCGTGTCATTACACGCACCTGCAAGTGTGAGTTTGAAAAACGTATACATAACACAAATCATTTTACTAGCTCAGTATGCACATTAAACATGTGTACTAAGATAATTGGATTCACAATTATTCGTAAGATTTTTGACGAACATGGGCATATATAGTGAAAACGAATTTTGGGCGACTTGCCATAATATTTCAAATTTGTCTGATGGATGCTGACATCCTCTCTTAAGAACCCATTCCAGCGTGATCGTAGCAGGGCGGGATGGAAACGGTATGTTTGGATGCGAAAGAATCAAATATGTGTGGTGCAAGTATCGGTTTCGGTGGCAAAGGGATGTCTCGGGCGTGCGAGATCTCGGCTGTTGGCAGCTGTTCTGAGGCGTCAGGATGGGGATTTGAGAGTGTTCCGGTACTATGTGATGTTCCACGTCAATGGAATTCGTCTGCAGGGATCTTAACCAGTGCCAGCTTTGCACATTCTGAGCTAGAAAGGAGAGGTGGCTCACCTTTTACCCATTGGTTTGAGCTAAGAGTTTTCATAGGTGAATAAGGTTGCCTTGTTGTGAGTGAGATAGTTTATTTCGTCCGCCCTATAGGGATCAACGATTGAGCAATTTCATCTGGCAGTGTGTTGCATGTGGAGGCAGTATGTAACTGCACCATGATTGCTTTGTTTATGTCCTTGGTCACACCCAGTTCCAAGGGGCTGGACAATTTACGCCCCAGGGCCGCGCCTCTTGGATTTTTTGTTGTAGACAGTTTGAGCATGTACTTCTGGTTTGATATCAACTGTAAAGAGATCAATTTCATGCTCTTCCCCTGAACTGGCAGTAAGATGGTGTGCCTGGGGTTTGGTATCAGAAATCCAATTTCAATCGTTCAAAATCCCATTTAAATTCACGTTTCATGGAGTTTTTCCCCACGCACAAGACCACATTTTTTGTAACGACTCATACAGAGGATCTGTTAAATTTTATCGCAACACAACCCAAATCCTCTGACTCCTCCCTTTCGCCAACTCAGGCGATAAATTATGACCGGTGACGAAGGTCTCGAGGGATTTTAAATTTTTTTATTAATCCCACCAGCTTCAAAAAAGGTTCAGAGAGATGGAGAGATGGAGAGAGATGGAGAGTTCAAAACTCAACCAGTCGAGAGGAAATTCGAAGTCAACAAGTAACAAAATCAACAAATTCCAACCTCCTCCTTCCCACTTCCCCCTCCCACTTTAAGAACATATTGTTAGTTCGTAATACTGAGATCAAAGTCGAACATCTCACATCGCGTATTTACCAAAACTCGGCTCTAAATTTTAATTGCCCACTGGTCCATATGATCGGCTGCATTGAAAATCAAGTAAACCTATGTTACCTGCAGGTGAGCTAAAATTTTAGCACTTGCCGAAAAGGAATCTAAAATAAAAAAAAAAAAACATTCTCTGAACCTCTAAACTTTGCCTTGCTCCCAAATTTGCTACATTTTTGTTTATTAAGAGATTTCACAACATATTTTAAATCATATTTGGACCCATATCCAGTTTAATTTTACTAACTCAATTTAAATAGAAAATTTTCAAAAGGAGATGATGCACCTCAGAATCATGTTTACCCATGAAGATGAGGTCTTATATTCAATGATATGTCCATTTCATAGGTACTTACATCGAAACCAAATCAAGGAGCTACCACCAAGAGTCTTCGATAACAACTCCGAGCTGACTCAGCTGTAAGTAATACATTCGATTCATAATTTAACGTTTAACGGATCGTCTCGGATAAGACCTTGAAACCTCGTTATTTACAGTGCACTCTTGTTAACTCCGATGATGCTCGTCCTTTGATTTCTTGCTCCAGTTAGAGTTAGAAAATTTCTACTTTTATTAATGAAAGATGAGCATAAGCGTATTCAAACTCTTTAACAAACATAATATGCTAGTAAAAGAGAGCTGCATGGGTTTTAGAGCGTGTGAGTTAAACAGCAGCGAGAATCAATTTCACCGGTTACTTCACTAAGATTTCTTAACCATCGCTGGTTACCAGTTCCGTCTTTTTTTCGGGCACGTATTTTGTTTGCATATGCGAGCACATATTTCTGACCCGTTACAATGAATTGTTCTTAGGAAAAGGTATTAAAATAGCTATAAATTTTTTACACAAAAACAACATCCAGAAATCAAGTGGTGATTGATTACTCCATTTGTCAGGCTGCAAAAGTTGTTAGTGGAAAAACATTCTTTTCGTGTTGCACCACACATATTTGTAAGGGACTAATAGAGATCCTATCACACCTTTGAAGCATTAAAATTGTTAAAACTGAGGTGGCAGGATTCAAATCCTATATCCCAACTGTTCAAATGTTAATAGAAATCCTATTGGGATTACTATAAATCCTTCTGTTTAAAAAGAAAATGGTAAGACGGATGCCAATTACGCTATGTTCATCTAATTTTGTGAGACCATATCATCACCCAAACCGAAATCATAATACAAATCTCAAAATATTTTTAAGAAGTTTACCTTCATTATTATTTCACAGTTTTACAATTAACCAGAAATCCGATTTCAATCGTTTCTAATACCATTTAAATTAACCTTTAACGGAGCCTTTCCCCTAACGCAAGCAATCATTAAGAAAAAAAGTAATCAACTCGGACTTGAATGAATGCTCTAAATAAACATTCTCACCTCCCCCTCCCACTTTGAGTGCACTTGGTAAGGTCAGACAGTGATATTTTGTTTATTACTCTTCAATCATTTACAAACAGTATATTGTCAAAACTAAGGTTCTCTTCTTTCCGCAAGTTTAAGCTGTGTATTTGTAAAAAATAATTATTTCTTTGGAGTTGCCGATGTAAAATAAAAAAAAAAGCATTGATCGTCGCAGGCGAGCTGCAATTTTACCAATAGCAGAAAAGAAGACAGAGAAAATTTCAGGTTCGGACGGGATTTGAACCCAGGCCTCCCTGAACACTACTGCCAACTGAGCCACACAAAGAAACGTCAACTCTCCCGCCCTTATGCCTATTTACTTTGATAGGACACTGCAGAGCCCTTTCATATTTGCTTCAGTTATGTTCTAATCATTGTCCTTCAAAGATTTTTTTAGGTGCGTATAACAAAACATTTAAAAAAATTTTATTGTCGAAGCGAAGGCTCATTTTTCTACGCGACTTTTCGATATGAATTTGTAGCGAAATAAGTTTCTTTTGAATTATGGATTAAAATAAAATGTAGACATGATCCTCGCAGGTGAGCTGCAATTTTACCAATTGCAGGAAAAGTTGACTGTAAAAAACAAATTAAGGCTCGGACGGGATTCGAACCCATGCCACCCAGATACTAATTGGGCGATGCTACAAACTGAGCTTCAAAGCCACACGTTATGAGTGAGGAAAATTTTGGAAGATTCATCTTTTTTTTGGAGAAAACTTATGCATTTTGCAATGAGATAAATCAAATAGAGCCATGACAAACGCAGGTGAGCTAAAATTTTGGCATTTACAGAACAGTCCGGGAAAAAAGGAGAAAAATACTCGTTCTTTGATCCCAGTAAGAGTTACCTCGCTCCCAACGTGGGAGGAGTCGAAGAATCTGGAAACAATTTTGCTTTTATTATTATTATTTTTTTATTTTTGTATTTCAACACTTTAGGTGTATTAAAAAGTGTTCGAGTTTATTTATTTGCTACATTTTTGTTCGGTTAAGTACTTCATAATAATTTTTAAATATTGTTTAGACAAACTTGGGCTCTTTTATAGTCATGTAACTGCACCAAGCTTTTGGCTCGGACTTTCGGCATATCTTGTCCAACTGCTCTTTGATTTTGGTATGTCTTGCTAGCGGCTGCCTGTAAATAGCGTCACAGGCTAGTGTGACTAGCGGGTCTAAATTAAAAGTGAAAGGCCCCCCACACTATGCAAATCTGGAAATGCTTTAATATCCCACTCCAGAGTGATCGTAGCAGGGCGGGATGGAAACGATATCTTTGCATGCGAAAAAATCAAACGTGTGTGGTGCAAGTATCGGTCCCGGTGGCAAAGGGATGTCTCGGGCGTGCGAGATCTCGGCTGTTGGCAGCTGTTCTGAGGCTTCAGGATAGGGGTTTGAGAGTGTTCCGGTACTATGTGATGTTCCACGTCAATGGACTTCATCTGCAGGGATCTTAACCAGTGTCAGCTTTGCATAGTCTGAGCTAAAAAGGTGAAGTGGCTTGCCTTTTACCCATAGGTTTGAGGTTAGAGTTTTCATTAGTGAATAAGGTTGCTTTGCTGTGGGTGAAATAGTTTTTGATCGTCTGCCCTAGAGGGATCGACGATTGAGCAATTTCATCCGGCAGTGTGTTGCATGTGGAGGCAATATGTAACCATGATTGATTTGTTTATGTCCTTAGTCACACCCAGTTCCAAGGGGCTGGACAACTTACCCCCCAGGGCCGCGCCTCTTGGATTTTGTGAGGTGTTGTAGACAGTTTGGGCATGTATTTCTGGTTTGATATCAACTGCAAAGATATCAAGTTCATACTCTTCCCCTGAACTGGCATCAAGATGGTGTGCCTGGGGTTTGGTGCCTCAGTGGGTATGGCTAAAGAGGGTACTCCCATTTGACATGTGCTGGAAGTGTCCGATTCTCGCACAGCACTCTTTCATGCCCTTCGTTGTTTTATCTCTGCGGCCCGTATTTTGCAGTTTTGACATCAGTCTGTCGTTGTTTATCCCTGATATTAACTAGTCCGCACACTTATTGCAGTACGCTAGGCTCCTACTTTGTTTAGCTAGTCCGATACAGGCTGTGACGTATTTTCTCTGTTATAACTTTTTCCCAAAGCCTTAAAAAGATGAAGGCGTGGACGGGATTCGAACCCGTGCCTCCCAGATATTAATTAACTGCGACCATATTATCTCCCAGTCCAAGATGATGATATGAATCTCAAAATATTTTACAAAAAGTGATGTTTAGAAAGAGAAGTATACCTTTATCTTCAAATGAAAGTTTTGCAATTTAACAGAAATCCGATCTCAATCGTTCAAAATTCCATTTAGATTCACCTTTCATGGATTTTTCCCCTCACACAAGATCATATTTGTTGAGGTCAGGCCTTTCTTCATACAATGAATGCTCAAAATAAACATTCCCACCTCTCCCCTCCCACTTTGAGAACACGTTGTTAGGTCAAAAAAGGATATTTTGTTTATCACACTTGAATCATTTACAAACATTATATTGTCAAGCACTAAGGTTCTCTTCTTTGCGCAAGTTTAAGCGATGTTTTTCTAAAAAAAATTATTTGTTTGGAGCTGCCGATGTAAAATCACAGAAAGGCATGATCCTCGCTGGTGAGCTGCAATTTACCAATTTCCGATTGGAATCTCACTTCTGACACCATGTTGCAAAAGGGGAAACACTACGAAAGCAGAAATGGGCGCCACATCTATTTAACACCCCCCATGCTGGGGCAATCTATAACAAATTGAAGGTGTAACACACATCCAAGCATTTTGTTAGGTCAAACGGGAATATTGGGCTCATTATACTGGAAGCATTTTTTTAAAGTGCGTCCAGTAAATCACTTAAAAACAATTTATTGTCGAAAACGAAGGTTCATTTTTCTTTACAATGAAATAAATTTTTTTTTGACCTACAAATTGAAAATAAATTAAAGTCTTGGTTCTTGCGGATGAGCTGCAATTCAGCCGATTGTAAAAAAAGAAGCCTTAAAAACATGAAGGCTCAGACGGGATTCGAACCCGTGCCTCACAGATATTAATTAACTGCGACCATATCATCTCCCAGTCCAAGATGATAATATTAATCTGAAAATATTTTGCACGAAAGGTTGTTTAGAAGGAAAAGTATACCTTTATATTTAAATCACAGTTTTGCAATTTACCAGAAATCTGATTTCAATCGTTCAAAATTCCATTTAAATTCACCTTTCATCGAGTTTTTCCCTCACGCAAGACCATATTTTTTTAAAGCGATTCATACAGGGGATCAGTTAAATTTATTGCAACACAACTCAAATCCTCTGACTCCACCCCTTCGTCACTTGGGCGATAAATTATGACCGGTAACTAAGGTCTGGAAGGATTTGGCCTAAAACCCAGGGGCTTCCAGTAGGAGAGATGTTTGGAAAAAAAGTTGTGATTTTTTCTATTTTCACACTGCACCGGTATCGCAGAAGTCATGGGTTCAAATCCCGTACAGGCCTGAATTTTTTTCAGGCCTTCTTTTCACTACTACTTAAGTAGTGTTCATTACTGCTAAGATCGCTTTCATTCATTTAACCGCAGTTCAAATATATGACTTCCATATATTCACAACCGTTTCTTGAAACTAATGAAGCAAAAAAAGTGAGAGATTAGAGATGTCTTTAACGTACTGTACGACAACTATACGTATCCTTGAGAACTTTTAATAATGAAAAGCCGATTGAGGTAGCCAGATCTTGAGTAAGAACTTGGCGCCTTATGCTACCTCGTCTCTGGTGCGGAGACCGATTTTTAGCTTTTATCACGAAAAGTATTAACTTGCGGTGTAAAACAATTCTATCCTTTAAAATAAAAAATAAAATAAAATTTAAAAAAAAAACAGCTTGGTTTAAAAAAAGAGTCAGTAGTCACCTCTTGTAAATCTGGTTTATATTTTGTGGTAATTCCATATTCGAGTAAAACACGATGAAAGATTGACACGTTCAGCGTGCTCTACTAACTCCGTGACTAAATGATTAGTTAAAAATGCATGCGGATGAAAGACTGCATGCGCGCAGCACGCAAACTGCGTGTCCTACACGCACTTGCAAGTCTGACTGTGAGAAGCGTGTAAATTAAACGATTAGTGAGCGAAGTTGAGTGAGAACTTTACATATCATTCTATCTTGTCTCCAAATTTGTCCCTTTTTTGGTTTGTTTCACTCTCATGCATTCGTTTTAGTCGTTAGTGATGTGACGTGCGTTTTCTCAGGGTAGACCGATATTTGAGCTTTTAGCGCAAAAAAACCAGTTGTCTAATAATTTGTTTGCTGAATTATTTAACCTGAAAACCCTGTAACCTATTAACTTTACTTTAACTATTCCAGGATTTTACTAAAACACATGTTCTAACATGAATAATGAATATCACACAGCTTCTAGAACTCTTAGCTATTGGCATAGCAGATGGCGTAATAAACAAAACGATCGCAATGTAACATCATGTAACAACTCAAGTTCGAGATAAAGACAAATGTAATTGGAAACATAGTGTCAATATCAAGTAATCGGCAAATAGGGGCACTTGTATTTAAAAGAGCATTAAAGAAACGTCTAAAACAACCCACACTGGATAATGATGGACGGAAAAAATCATAATATGATCCCCTCGCCTCTGTAGAGAGAAAAACAACAACAATAAGGACAACAAGGACAAAAACAGCAAAAAAAACATTAAATATTCATTTAAATGATCCTTGTATTCTTCTTATTAGGATTTGAATTCTATCCAGTTCTTTAACCTACTATAATTATTTAATCACGCTTTTTTATGCCTAATCTTTGCAGTGCCTTGTCTGACAACCAAATAAAAAATCTACCGCCTGGAGTCTTCACTAACAACACCGAGTTGACTTACCTGTAAGTAGAACATTTGTAGGTTCATATTTGATACTATCGATACTATTAATTACTATAATAATTGTGATTTACACAACTCTTATTGTTATATTTTGTAAGCAGCTAATATTGATTCCATCCCACCTATAATACAAGACGAGTTAAGCTGTAAAGATCTGAATTCAATTTAATCAGAACACATTTTTACCCAGTTCAGGGTAGTAACATCAAGAATCGTATCTCTAAAGTTATCACCCCTATTACTTTAAAAGTTGTCGAGGAGTACGTGATTTATCAATTATCTTTAAATCACGTCTCTAAACTTCACCAGAGATAAGATCTCAATTGTTCCTTATCTCATTTCATTTACCTAATTCTCTGTTAGGTAAGGTAGATATCGACTTTTTGCCATACATTTCCAATACACACCCATAGGAAATGTATTTTTTCCGATAAAATAGGCAAAATTATATTCGTAACACCTTCCAACGGATGTAAGATACGTTTGACGCGAAAGAGTACCGGAAGTCAGATGAAAATCAAAGCGGGCAGAAATATTGTACGATGGTATCCGCCGATACCCATTTTTTGATTGGAATCCGATGGGGTCCATGGGAACCCAACAGAGTCCAGCCATGTCCATCGGAATCACTAGTCTTGTGGTAAACCTAACCTCAGACAAGTGCCGTATAAACGAAATATGCCTCGTTCTTAAAGCCATGAAGCGAAACAGCTCGTTTCAAGCGCGAATGACTTGAATATATACCTTGTTTTTCAACCTTAAAGCAAAACGGCGTTTTACCCTTACAAATGCAGTATCTGTGAAATATGGCCCGTTCTTTAAGCCATGAAGCTAAAGAGCTCATTTTAAGCGCGGACAACGGAAAATAACCTCGCTTTTTTGCTTAAAAACAGTCAAATGCAATGTACGTAGGAAATGTCTGGTTTTTTATGCTTTAAAGCGAAACAGCTCATATCAAGTGCGAATGACTAGCAGTGACTTTCGGCGCTATGTAGGCAAATGCAGCAATCGTGGCGAAATATGCCTCTTTTTTAAGGCCATAGAGCGGAACAGCCCATATCAAACACGAATGACTTGAAAGATACCTCGTTCTTCAAGCGTGGATAACTTCAAATCTCATTCTTCAAGCCTTAAAGCAAAAATACGCTTTAAACAGAAATATGAAGTACAGTATACGGAAAATATGCCTCGTTCTTAAAGCCCTGAAGCAAAACAGCCCATTTTAGGCGTGAATGACTTGATTTATATTGTGTTCTTCCATCCATTTAGACAAAAAGGCGCTTAACGCAGAATAACTGGATGCAGCTTACGTAAAATATGCCTCGCTTTTAAAAGCATGAAGCAAAACGACTCATTTCAAGAGCTGATCACGTGAGGTATATCGTGTTCTTCGGCCCATTAAGCGAGACCGCGTTTTGCACTGGCATGAGTAGTATGCTTAAAAATTTACCTTTTTCGCCAGGCTATGAAACAAGGTTAAGAGTAAGATCTGTTTATTATTTCCTTTTCGAGGCGAACGTGAAGTTGGTAGGCAGAAATATGAAATTGCACAAAGTCAGTCACGAGAGAACACTCTCTCAAAGTATGTCGATATTGTCCTGCATTCCATTTATTTTAATGACAATCGATATGTCGAGTAGTTCGAGAATTGAAAAGTTGTCATCGAGTTACTCTTCCGAGTCAGCTGGGTGGAAGGTATTGCATTAAAAAAACAAAAAAATGACGGACGTTCATTTTCTTCATTTGGTCAATTTCACAGAATTCCGTCCATTCTACATTCACTACTACTCTGTTTCAAGTAGGGAAATTTGCCAAAATCGTATTGCGGGTATTGGTTTTTTTAACCTATCGCGATCGCGCTCCTTTTTTTCCTGGTTTTGTCTTGGTTATTTATCTCCTCTGAATGTTTCATGATAAGAAATAAAACCCCTTTATAATTATTTCCTTAGACCATAGTACAATGAACCTTGAATAAGATTTGTTTCAAAAGTT